CTGTTTAATAAAGAATTCTAGTGGAAAATTTAAAAACGTATGAGTATTCCAATTAACTGATCGACCAATATCATATAGCAAATAGATGTCCTAAATATCAAATTTTAATATATATATAGTTACAAAATGCCATGCAGATAACCCACTTGTTCAAATGTTCAGGTAAAATGATCTTAAAAGTAAAAATCATGCAAAGTAATGACTATGGTTGCAAATTAAATTTGCAAAAGTTATTATATTTGAAAATGATAATCTTATCTTCCAGTATCCAAAATTCTAAATAAGGAAATTTAGATAATTAATTATATTTTTTAACAAAACGAGTGACATTGATTTTGAACAAAGATAAGTTAAATATGTAAATTATCTTATATGTATAATGCCCAAATGACAAAGTTAGCAGAATTTTACGAAAATTAATTTATTGAATTTTAGGGAAGCAACTCCCTGTAATTTACAAGGAATAACTCTTGGGAATTTATAACTCACTCGCTCCTTGAAATTTCCCAGAAAATTCTTGGGAAAATGGGAGTCGCTCGTAAGAAATTCCCGAGATTGATATATTTGTCTATAATTGAAATTAAGTGCATTTTAAAAAGTATTTTATAATGTATTTAGAGAATTGGAGTGAAGTAGTAGTTTTAGACTAAAATTCTTCGTTAAAATCTTATGCATAAAATAAATAAATTTTGTAAAAAATAGTAACAAAAAAGATAGGCTTACAAGTTTACTTTATTACATTGTCTTTAAATGCAATATATTAAAAATAATATGGAATAAACTGTTAATTTTTTACCCTCAGATAGAACTGTACATATCGACAATTAATCTTTAAATTTTTCGAGAAGCCGTCTGAAAGTATAAACTGAAATATCCCACCTGAAAGAAAAAATTTAATATTCATAACGAGTTCTTAGTAATAGTGCAGATTTGGTACAGCACATAAATATTCGAAGTTATTCACAACCATGTGAATACAAACTTTTGCGATGTCATTCGTTCAAATTACCGATTGTTCATCATATATGTGTACAATTTTTTGCAAAGAACTGCAAACATTGTTGTAATAATATTTTGAACAATGGTATATTCATTTAGATTTTTTTGATCTGGTAAAAACGAGTGCAATTTTACATAGGATGTATTGTTTAATTGTGCATAAGAATTATTAGATTTTTTATTATTTCTTAGTGACGATATATACAAGCAGCCATTTTTTACAATTTTTTGATAAAAAACGCTATTTTCAGGTAAATTTCATTTATGTGAACAATATGCACTTTTTTTTGAAAAACTAAAATATCGAATATCTTTAATCTGAAATGTTTGCTTAGCAGTTGTACCGATAGTGTTACAATAATTTTTCACAGTAAATGAGCTAAATGGAAGAACATAGTTTTTTAACATTAATAAACTATATTTTAAACTAATTTGTCTGCATATCTGTTGATGCACTCCTTTAGCTGCGTGGATAACCTTTAGCAAATCTCCATTACCTTATTTAAAGGCATAAGCATTATGACACCACAATGGCCCTCAATCCAAAACACTTTTTGACAAATGCAAAAACAAATGCAAAAACAAATGCAAATTTAAAGCCATAGCCACGTTTGAGTATAAAACTTGTGTTTGGGCAACAAACTCATGCAGTAATCTATCTGCTAAATCGGTTTCATCGACTCGAATATTGTCTTTAGTTAAGATATAAATCGCCTCTACAAATAATGCCCAATGCATTAAATGTTTTTTTGGTAGTATGTCATTAAGAATTATCATACTATAAAAAAGGATGAAATTCTCCAACTCGCGGGCTTTCCAAAACTGATTCTCAGAAAACGCTCTAGTCATTCTCATTATTTGATGGGGTACTTTTATATTAGCCATAAGTTGATCAATTTCCAAAATGTTATTTTTAGAGAACAATCCACATTTTTTGTTGTTTCCAAACCACATTGTAGCGAATTGCTTTGCAATTCCAGCCAAACAATGCATGGGTTCAACAACACACCCGTAAATAATATTATAATGAGATAGACGAATTAGCTACGATGGATATTTGATACCAAAAATTGGTTTTTTTGACGAGAGAGCTTTCTCCATGTGATTAATCGTATTAGAAACAATTATTTTTTTCGGAACCTTTGACATCAATGGGAATTTAATACACCCTGACTTTGGATTATTTATATTATATTGAACCCATACTCCCGGATGAAGACAGTGGTTACAACTATAGTGTCATTAAACTGTGTAAATCCTTGAACATGAGCGCGAACAACTGAATCGACGCAACAAATAAATGTAAAGAATTTTATGCACATATTGGTACCGTTTATAATGCACTTAATTCCTCTACTAGAAAGCTCATTCATAATATCTACAAATGGTTCCAAAAATACATTCATATTTGGCTTTTCTTTCCCAACCAAAGTCCAGCTAAAATCAATTCTTTCGTCCTTACTTGAAATGGTAATTCATTTACCATTAAAAAAATTGGCTAAATAGAATATTTCGAACTTTTAAATAATGGCGCACCATCAGTGTTAAACACAACCGAAGCATAACTGATGCGTTTATTTTCTTCGTTTAAACTTTTAACGAATTCTCTATACATTTTACCATCGTAAATTTCGTTAAATTGGTTTCTTTCGTGGACTCTATCATTTATAATATAATTATAGTAATCACCATTTCATTCAAGTAAGGAGCGAATGGGTGTTTCTATATATCTAACATCACAAAAAATCATTAAAATCGTCACTTTTAACATTTGTTGCTGTTTTACATGATTTACACTTTATAGAACGATCTTTTCTTTGAAATTTCCCGATATAAGCATGACATTTTGGACAATTTGGATTATTAATGAGGATAAAATTGTAAAATTACATTTTTTACTTCAAAATATCATTCTTGGTAGTATCTAATTTTGTAAAAAATAATAGGTAAATAGTATTTCGTTCTAATAAAAACTATTTACTTTTTTAAAATACTTAATGAAGATTTTCCATTTTATATTAATCCGTTGAAAATAAAAAATTTACTACTTATTAATCAAAATTTAATGAGGTTATCTTTTGAATTTGATATGATTTTGTTGAAAACTAATTTTGTACATCTCATTTAATCTCTTTTTGAATTTTTCTGAATGAGATTGAACTTTAATTGTTTTTTTTATTGAAACATATAAATATTTTTTTAGAAAAATTTATTAATTCAGGGTTTTTGTTTTTAAATTTTTTGTTTATTTCTATTCTGAAAAGCTGAATTTTCCGTATAGAAAATAATTCAAGATTTTCAAGATGCGGTGAACGCTAACATTAAAAATCTTAAATATATGTTTAACAAAAAGTTTACCGCTTTTTTCTCAATAAATGGTTCTTCAATATTTTTTACAATTTTAAGAAATTCCATGTTTTCAGGTATAGATTCTGATTCCAAATCTTCTGTAAATTCTTCATCCATTGAAATTGACTCCACTGAAGTCTCTGTGTTATCTAAATTATTCCAAGAATCCACAGGCTTAATAAAGTATACTTTATATTACATTTCTATTATAAATGTAAAATAGACTTATAAAGAGAAGATAAAATGAAAAAGTAGTTGATACACAAACTAATCGAAATTAAAAAAAAATTTTTTAAATTGAGAATGTAATAATCTAAAAAGGTGTAAAAGGAAATGTATTAAATTATCTGTTCCTTATATTATCATTAAATTTTATTTTTAAAAAACCTTTTTTCATTTATTAGTTATTTTCTGAAAATAGAAATAAATATTTCTTTACAACTCACGTTTTCTAGGCGTAATTTTTTGTATCTGCACCATGATGGAGCTGGAATTTCATCAATTCATCCAGGTTCTAAATATTCTTTGTATCTCCTGGATTTTTTCATTTTAAATTCTTGAAATAATTTAAATTGCTTTATTAAATTTTATAATACATATATGCTTATCAAATATTTTAATTAATTAATTTTTTTAACTATGAAATTGTAATTATTTGATTTTTATATCAATTCTAAATAATATTTAATAAATTTAAATTCCCTAAATAAATAATTAATAAAATAACAAATAAATTTCAGATACACTGATATATTATTTTAAAATTTGCATTACAAATTAAATTTTGGTACTTACTTTTTCAAGAAATAACAGTTAAGTAAAAAATTCCAACTTAACCAATTCACATAAAAATTTATAAAATTAATAAAATTTTAGGTAATTTGTAGAAAATTTTGAAAACATTTTCAGCTTTTCAATACTTTCTACACATAAAATTAAAAAAAATTTTTTTGATCAATATTTTACCCGTATTTTCAAATGCAAATAGGACCAATGAGAAGTTTACATTGAAAAATGACGTATATTTTCAAATTTTTATTTTCTTATGTCAAAATGTCTGTCAAAAAAACAATACAATGTATTAAGATTTAATTTTCCTAGTTACATTAAAATAAACATTTTCAAAAAGGATTTTTAGTTTGTGTCACATTTGCGAAAAAAATAATTAAAAATGCCTATATCACACGCATACGTATTTTATACGAATGGCAAGTATGAAATTGTGCCTATTGCTTTAATTTCAAACTTTTTTCCCAAGCACGAAAAGGATTTCCAAGCCAATAAAAAGTATAAAATATGGTGAAAAATTGACTCCGAAAGAAATAAAATTTTGCTCAACGCTTACATTTTATTACTGGGATGTATGTATAATTGTTTTTAAATAAATTCAAAATCCCAAAATTTTTGTTAATGTAAATTAATTAATAAAAATTTGTTATTTTAATTAATTAAAACGAATGGCTATTAAGTTCTTTTTTTCGAAACAATTATTTTTTAAAATTGTTTGTTTTTAATGACGTTGTTTGTTATTAAATAAATTATGTTATTTAAGCATTAATGAAAAATTTTAGATTTTAAGAAATGTATATTTGCTGCTTTTTCTAATTTCCTCACAGAAATTAATGTTATATTTTTGTTCATTTAGGCAGTAAGAAGAACGTTGAAAAAAATGAAAATGATTCTCGTGTAAAATTCCCCAACAAAAGAAACATGAGCTTCGCATCGTCTATTAGAGAGGTTAATAAATGAAAAACCGTAAAATCAAAAGTGGTGAGATTATATAAGCACATAGTCACTTTTAATATAATTTTAAAATTAAAAACAATTTTTTTCTTGTAGAATGATAAAAAAAACTTGAAGCCTTGAGAGAATCAGCAAAACGAAATAAAGATAGAAATATTATTAAAAGATACAACCAATTAAGAAATTAGCGTGAACCACTTTGGGAATCATTAGAAGATTTGCAAGATTATGATTTCATGGGAACCCAAGACACGGTTTTACTGAGTCCGAGCTTATCTAATACCCTTGAAACTAATAGCAGTAATATCAGTGGTAAATAGAATTTTTAAACACTTTTTTAAATAATTGTGAATTGATAAAATAATGAGTTCCAAGAAAAAAATGTATTCTTAAATATATAAAAACAGACACAGGGTGTCTTTAAATTCATACCAGTTACTATTTTTTAGTTGCTGCAAAATGCATTTGCTGCATTTAATTCAAATATACAATTTTAATGATTAATGTTAGAAATTCTAATTTTTTAAACTCAATCAAATTACTTTTGTCTCTGTCATAAAAAAAGTTTCTAATTATATATTTCTAATCCACAGGAAATCAATTACTTACATGATTAAAAATATTTTTCACAAAAACACTGATTTGAAAAGCTTTTTTTAAAATTAGTAAAATGGTACACGGTGAGCTTCGTTTTGGTTCAACCTAAACTGCCTGACCCTTCTCAGGTTTTTTTTTATATCAATTCGGTGATGCCTCACGATCATTTTAAGACGAAAATTAAAATAATCGTTGGAGGGAAACTCAAATTATATTGATTTTTAAATTTTTTTTCTAGATTCTTGAAGATATTTTCATTAAAATACCGTTTGGTAAAATACTTATTGCTTCAAAAGCTACAATTTAACATAAAAATAGATTATATATAATAATTAAACCATTTTGATACATAGAATTAAGAAACTGTTTAAAAATAGTCGAAAAAACTGAAATTTTTCTAATTTTTTAAACTTTACTCCTTTATTTAACGTTATTTCAATAAAGTCATGTAGAAGTGAATTAAAGTACATAAAATTTCCTGTAAATCAAAAAAAAACTCTTCTATCTATTATTGTTACAAAAATATGGTCATTTGAATTTTAAATTTAATGGATAAATAGTTAAAATTTACCATTAGGTCTAGATTATTTGGTAAAATTGTTTTCGCAGAACCTCATCTCAATTCCATAATTAAATCGCATTCTTTGTGAATACAACGGCCTTCACGCATTTTAAAAATATCGTGGTTGTTACCAAATATTTGTACCTTACCATTTACTTTTTAAAAAAGTAAATATTTTAAATATGATTATGTTGCATTTTTCAAAATAAACGGATTTTTAAAAACTACTCAAATCTCTCTTATAGAAATAGACATTCTTTAAACCAATGTAACTTTCGATGTAAGTGAGATAAATCAGTTTTTTCAATTTGAAACTGTTCAAGATTAAACCTTCTTATACGTATTATATTCTGGAATTGAGATGAGGTTCTGCGAAAACAATTTTACCAAATAATCTAGACCTAATGGTAAATTTTAACTATTTATCCATTAAATTTAAAATTCAAATGACCATATTTTTGTAACAATAATAGATAGAAGAGTTTTTTTTTGATTTACAGGAAATTTTATGTACTTTAATTCACTTCTACATGACTTTATTGAAATAACGTTAAATAAAGGAGTAAAGTTTAAAAAATTAGAAAAATTTCAGTTTTTCGACTATTTTTAAACATTTTCTTAATTCTATGTATCAAAATGGTTTAATTATTATATATAATCTATTTTTATGTTAAATTGTAGCTTTTGAAGCAATAAGTATTTTACCAAACGGTATTTTAATGAAAATATCTTCAATAACCTAGAAAAAAAATTCAAAAATCAATATAATTTGAGTTTCCCTCCAACGATTATTTTAATTTTCGTCTTAAAATGATCGTGAGGCATCACCGAATTGATATAAAAAAAAATCTGAGAAGGGTCATGCAGTTTAGGTTGAACCTAAACGAAGCTCACCGTGGGTATTAATAAAAAAATAAATAATTTCAAAAATTTACATTAATAATAATGATAATAAAAATAATAATTTAATTGTTATATGTTTTAGAATATTTAAGAAATTCGTGTGAACCACTTCGGGAATCAGAAGAAGATTTATTTATTTTTATTTATTTTTAACTAAAAACGATTTTAATTTTATGCTTATTTGGAGCTTCTACTTCTGGTGCATATCAAAGGCAGCAGTCTCCTCAATCTGGACCATCAGACGAAGAAGATCACTCAGATATTGAGTTTTCTGAAATACCACTTGAGGATCTTCAAGAATTAGTAAAAATAAAATAATTATAATCTTTTTCATTAACAAAAAGTATTCTGATTTAAATGAAAATTATTCCTAATTATTTATAACTTAAACGCAATAATCAATTAAAGTCAATTAAAATCATCGTGACTATTCCTATATGTAGATTGCACTACCAGGTCAAAAAGTTGCGAGACAAATGGTGGAAATTGAGAATCGTTTCAAGAAGAAGAAACTGACGATTTGGTAAAAATTAATAACATAAATTAATTAATAAAAATTAAATAAAAATAATTAAATAAATCAGCTTCATTAAAATCCTTGTCATATTTTTCAATATATAGAATGCACCAAGAAATCAACAAATTGTGAGACCACTTGCGAATCCTGAGGCATTGTCAGGAGCGAGAAGAAATGGAAATGGAGAACCGTTTCAAGAAGTAGCTGACGATTGAATAAAAATTAATTAAATAAATTAGTTAATAGAAACAAAACAAAATTAAATAAAAATTATTAAATAAATCAAATTTATTAAAATCCTTGTCATATCTTCCAATATACATATAGAATGCACAAGAAATCAACAAATTGCGAGTCCAATTGCGAATCCTGAGGCGTTTTCAGGAGCAAGAAGAAATGGAAATGGAGAACCGTTTCAAGGAGTAGCTGACGATTTGGTAAAAATTAATAAATTTAATAAATTAATTTATAAAAAAATATAATTGGAAGAATTGAAATAACTAAATTAACATAAAATAATGAAACAATAAATTCAAGTCAATTAAAATTCACGTAATATTTCCAATATTCAGAATGCATTACAAAATAAACAAGCTAGACGAATTGCGCATCCTCAGGCATTGATAGCAAGAAGAAATAGAAATATATATGTCAATGGTGAAAGATTTCAAAGGGCTGAGGATCTGGTAAAACAAAATTAAAGTTTTTATTCTTGTAACTTTCTTCTTGTCTTGTAAAATTAATAAAAGAATCTTTAGACACTTTTTCAATATCAATTAAATTTTTAGGAAACTTTGCAAAATTAACATTATAAGAATTAATGAGAAATTTTTAAGTAGACATTCTAACTGTCTAATTTTTTACAAAAGAACTTAATTTAATTAAGAGTTAAAATATTCTTTTTGAAATAAATGAAATTAATTTTAAAAAATATATTTTATATTTTGGTTGAATTTTGATTAAAGAGACAATATTGTTATCTTTTTTAGTGTGAATAAAGCATATAGTCGAAAAATATGTCAGTACTATAAATATTATACTTTTTTCCAGATATATTTGACTCCTGATACACCAATTCATAAAGATATTTATGAATTGATGAAAACCAGGTCGGATGCACGATTCGTAAGGGAAATGGCTCAAACAATGTGGGGAACTGAAGGACTTCAGCAACGCTGCTTGAATGTCGAAAGAGCTAACGCGCGAAATAATGGAGAAATAAGATGAATGCCTCTCACTCCCGAAAAATATGAAATGTTAATGTATAATAAATTTGTAAGATCCTAATTTTATTTTCATCGTAGATTGCCTTTATGAGAAAATCAATGAGTCAGGTGTAAAAGGAAAGCAAAGAGCGCTACGCATGAAAAAAATTCCAAAGATCATGAGAGCTGAATTGTATGATGTCTGCAGAAGATTAAAATAAGTTGACTTACGTTAAGAAATATTCTAATTGACATTTCTTGAAACTGTTAAATCAATTTCATTTTTCCGTTCTTTTTTATATTATTTCCTACGTTACACTTTCACATAATACACTACTTACACTACTACTTAAATCACGTCCAAAATAACATAAGAGACCACGTCCTAAACAATGCTATATAAATTACAATTATATAAAAAATCATGTCGTAAAACACATTTTAAACCATGTCCTAAACTATGTCGTTAACGACTTGTAATCCAAATCATGTCCAACCATGTCCTAAACTATGTCGTTAACGACTTGTAATCCAAATCGTCACTCATATAGCATATACCATTAAATGTTGTAAACCATACTATTTATTATCATTTATTGTCATTTACTATCTCAATTTCCGACATTGAAAACTATGTTAATTTCCACGTAGTATCCATCCATGTTTACGCAGTGTTATACGACATTACCTACTGTGTCGTTGCTTACATATACTTCTACGTAGTTTTCTACGAGTAGTAGGGCTGTGCCAGTTCTAAAACAGTTTGACCTTGAACCCTTTTTTCAGCCCTCTTGGCCCCCCACCACCCCCTAATTTGCATATTAACCCTTTCATTCACCACCCACCACCCCCTAATTTACATATTAACCCTTTTATTCACCACCCACCACCCCCTAATTTGCATATTAACCCTTTTATTCACCACCCACCACCCCCTAATTTGCATATTAACCCTTTTAATCACCACCCACTTTCAACCCTCTTGGTTACCCACCTTTTGAATTTTAATCCGTTTGATCACCCCCCACCACCCCTTACCACCCACTTTCAACCCTGTTGGCCACCCACCTTTTGAATTTTAACCCTTTTGGTCACCCACCTTTTGAATTATAATCCGTTTGATCACCCCCCCACCACCCCTTACCTTCCACTTTCAACCCTGTTGGCCACCCACCTTTTGAATTTTAACCCTTTTGGTCACCCACCTTTTGAATTATAATCCGTTTGATCACCCCCCCACCACCCCTTACCTTCCACTTTCAACCCTGTTGGCCACCCACCTTTTGAATTTTAACCCTTTTGATTACCACCCACCACCAACCCTTACCCCACCTTCTTTCAACCCTCTTGGAAACCTACCCCCCCCCTATTTTTCATATATATTTTTAAACTTTCACCCTTTTGGTCGCCCATCCACCCTAATTTGCATAACCCTTTTCAGTATAAACATATACGGTCCCAAAAATTCAAAAATCATAATTAGAACCTCGAGGAACAAAGGGTTCGCGAGATACCGCGCGGGACTGTGGGTGGTTGGGAGTGGGTGGCACACAGTGGATGGCTCAAAAGTGAAAGGTGCGCGGCAGATGTGCGCGTACGGTCACCGGGGCCCGTTGGTAGTCCATGCGTCAAGTGGGGATGGAGTTCAGTGGTGGGATGTTGTGTATGGTGGGGACTACATGTACCTCAGGCGATTCTTGTGGCAAGAAAAGTCATTCTGTTTCAGCTTCCAGTATGAGCAGCAGTAGACCTTCAGCACTCCCAGCAGTAGAATTAAAATAGAGAATCCCACCCACATTCCTCCCACTTGGTCACCCTCTACCACCCACTCACGTCATTTTAAGCTTCCCTCCAACTTTCCACCCACTAATTTGCATGCCGATTATATTTTTCATGGTATGTAACTATTTTACCATATACTAATGTTGTTTTTTAGAAGAAAAAGGCACTTTTTAAAACTTCTTTTTTCCATGGTAAGCCCCTATTTTTCAATGGTAACTCTACTTTATCATAGACCGATGTTACCGACTGTTGTCGCAAGATGGCGCTGTTTCTCGCGGGAATTTTTAAATTTTTAACCCCTTTGCATAAGTCCCTATTTTTCAGTGGTAACTCTACTTTACCATAGATCGGTGTTACCAACTGTTGTCGCAAGATGGCGCTGTTACTCGTGGGAATTTTTAAACCTCATTGCATAGTCATTTTTTTGAACATTCTACCCACTTTCCTCCCACTTGGTCACCCTCGACCAACCACTCATTTTTTAGCTCTTCTCCCACTTTCCACTCTCTTGACAACCAGAGTGGGGTTCATGCGCACTCCCTCTCTCGCCCCATCAACATTGCGCGCGCATTATTATAATAGAGTGGGGGTACATAGTATATGGTGTGTTGCGTGCGCAGTTCTTTTTTAAAGTGGGAGAAAAAGAAGAGTGGGGTTGATGGGATATAATGCAGAACACAAGCCCAGAGATAGCATAACTGTTACAGATATACTGATGCAACAACATCAACAGCAGCCACAGCATTAGCATCACTACTCCATCTTCTATAAGGTATATATATTCTACTTTAAATCCTTTTTTTTAACGCACTCCCCTCACAGCTTAATATTGATTTTTATATTAAAAATTTTCCATTTACTTCTGCTTACAGATATAAAAAGAAATCATGGATTTACAAAAACTCAACGCTATTGGTCACATGGAAAGCTTCCTGCCAACAAAACCGCTTGCTGAGTTGACTCCAAATGCTTTATATACTGTAACCAAAATAAAGAGGGTGCAGACAAAATTCGGAGGTAGGATTGTAGCAGAACTAGATACTACATTCAACACTTTCCTCCCAGCAAGGTTCGCGAAGCTGTTCGAAACTGAACCTGCATCATTCACAATGATGGAAGAAGCCGCACAATCTCAAAAATTACAATTAAAATATATCGGCGGCAAGTTTAATGTAATCGAATTTGAATATAAGTAATATTAAAAAATTATTAAAATATAAAAAGAAAAAATAATTGTAATATAAAATTGTAAATATTCATAATGTGAGAAAAATAAATGTATTAATTTACATAAAAAAAATGGTTTCTTTTCTTATTTTACCTTCATTATTAGTCTTAATACTAAGGGTATAGGTTCAAGTAATAAATAGACGTTTTTTTATTTTTTAAAAACTAATAAATTAATTTATTCAGATAAAGTATTTAAAATTTATTATACATAAGATTCAGAATTTTCATAAAAAGATTTTAAAGTAGTATAAGTACAATCCACTTCATCGACGCCATCTGATAAATTTCTCAATTCATTCGATACATTCAGAAACCAATTTCGAAGAATCATAACAATGTTTACAGCACAATGATTAGTTTGAGTAATATGATGTGTACATGTAGTTAACAATGATTCAGTTTTAATATTTTTAATCGCTGGACAGTCTATATCTTCTAAATTTTGCACATTTAACAAATATTTTTCTAACCACTGCTTTTTTTCAACACCTTTCGTGTAGATAGTTTTTGCACCTCGTAATGTTTCTTGTATAATAGTACGCAGTTCATCATAAGATACATCTCCAGACATCCAGTGGATTCCATGATAATTGTTTGTTAGCCAGAGATTTTCACTTTTATAACGTTGAGGTAATGAATTCCAAGCACATGGAGGTTCAAAGAGGTAAACTCGAGGTTGAGCATCAGCTTCAAGAGGAAGTATAGCCAACTCTTTGAAAATGAAATCGTTGCAGGGTTTCTTGAAGCCTTGAACGTCTACGATGAACTCCATCCTGGAATAGAAATAAATTTCTATCCCAGGAACGTGAGTTATATACCTCTCAGTTCAACCCCCACTACTTTCATTTTACCCCCTCCACTGTTTTACATCTTCTTAACTATACCGCTGATTGGTTTATACTGTACAATGCGATCATGTATGATGAGGCAATAAGCAGTTGTTTCAGCAGGTATATTATTTCTAGCTTCAAATTCCAAACGTACATCAACTGACGTTTGTTTGAGAAACTCGTTTTGTTTTGAACAATCAATAACAATTAGACGAGCCAATGATTTAAAAGTGTCAAGCTTTAATATGGGTTCAGAATCTCTTCCATAGTAGGAAGATTGAAAATTAGCATACATATCATAAAGTATAGAATATTGATTTTGATTAAAATTTAAATTTAAATTTCCATAAGGATATGATTGTGAATTCAAAAAGAGTTTTACATTTGTAATGTCGCAGTGATCAAAATAACTGGCAGACTTTTTACGTTTATCTTTTCTTCCTGTTTGGAATCCAACAATTACATATCGAGGCTTCTCTAATTGTGTTGACGATTTTATTTGCCACATGACTCTTGTACTTGACGGAATTAATGGATATTCAAACATTTCCCATGATCGAAAACTCATTGAAATTAGTGGATCTTTCTCGATAAATTTCAATAATTTGATTTTATTATTATCAGATGGTAAAACATATGGCACTAACCATTCCACTTTATTAATTTGTACTTTGAACTGTTCATCTGCACCTTCGCCCGTTTGAATAATAGAATTTAAATCACTACGTGCTCTTATTAAAATCAGTTCATGTTTCGCATTCATAACAATTTTTTTATAATCTTCAGCAAAACCAAAAATCATACCAAGTGGTACTGATACATCAAAATATCCATCTTGTAATGACATTCTTGTATTCAATTCCATATTCAAAATTCCTGCATTTTCAGCGCGGTTAAGTTGAGGTGGTGTTAATGAAACCAAGCTTTTCATAGTAGTTGTATGTCCAACATACTTGCAACGGTCAATCTCAATACCATTCAATTCATAACGAATTTCATCAAACAAATAGGCTATCGCATTGTTGGTGAAATGAATATTTTGTGTGGCATCAGTTCCATCAGCATTAGTCAACCTTCCAAAAATATGTAATACACTATTGCTTGGTAAAATAGATAAGTCTTGATTTTGTACAATAATGCGAATTTCATCACTATTGTTAAACGATGAGGATGCATATAGTTGATGACTGTGAATCTCATAATTAGCTATGGATTCATCAAAATTCACTGATGCTGGAATGCTGAGAATCTCCGCCATTTTTCTTATAACAGCGACACAAAATAAACAAGAAAAAATTTTCTCCTCTTCTCTTCTTTCTCTTCCTTAGTTTTGATTTCTGACTCGTAGACCTAGCTGCTTCAGGAATTGTCGACTCTGAGGTGTTAACACCTTGCGAGCTGTATTCAAACTGATCTTCGATGGACATGGTGTTTGAGTTTTATAACTACTTCCGACTTTTCGATTATAAACAATACCCATTACATTGATTTAATGTGTAAACGGATTGTTATTGTCTCTCCTCTAAAATTAACCAAAATACCGTTCTGATCTACTATACGTAGCTGAATGTTATGTATTGTCCTTACGGCGACTGGAAGGTAAATGATGTGTGCTGGAACTTCTACAATCTTATATCCTGGTGGAACAGTAGGGAAAAATTCATGTATAGTGTGAACTTTTTCACCATTTATATACGCTCCAGTGGTAATACTACATTCAATGCGTAGAGCATTCACTTTCAATATTTTTACAGGTAAATCGGAGAAATGTTTTAAATTCGGCATTAGTTTGCGAGCAGTGAATCCCAATAAACTAGCAATAGAATCTTCAGGAGTAAAGTCAATCCAAAGATTTGATTTAATATTGCATCCTAATGTACTATTGTTGGAATCTATTGCTAAATAATCTTCATCTGGTAATTGACGTCGCAAATATTCTTCTATATCTTTAATTTCATAACTACCTGTAGGTATAGTAAACTCAAAATCATCTATGTAAAATTTGTTGGAACTTTCATCAATATTAGGAATTGAGTTATATGTAAATAAATCAACAAGTCCAAGTGTATAATTTTTATTAGGTGAAAGTTCAATAGGTGGGAAGTATGAAGCCTCGAGAACTGAAGACTTTCCCGTTAACGTTAAAGTAAAAGAGTCATTCATGTTGGACATCTACTTTTATACTGATGGTTATAATAGTTTACATATTCTTATATAGATTAAAACTGTTCTTAACGTTAAGTTGCTTACATAAGAATTTAAGACATAAATGACCACATATAAATGTATCAAAATTTTGATATCTCTCATGATTATATTTTATATAGCTACCAACACCAAGATAAACAATGATTATCAAGATTAATTATGGCTGATTCACATTTATAAGGTTCTGTAATAGGTAATTCATTTCTCATAAAAATTTCAATCCTTTTCCTTCATGTGGTTTAATATAAAGACCAAGTCCTTTACGATAGGGTTTCAAATATATACCCTTTCCTATAGCAATGGCCTCCATTGTTTCATTATGTCGATGAGCTTCTGAAAGTTGTTTTTTAGCAGCATTAGCATCATTTACTGCTTTTACAATACCACTGACTCCACCACTAAGTGCTCCTAATGCACTAAGCCCGGCAAAAATTGGTATTAGCGGTAAAATACCGCCAACTTTTGAAGGTACAGGAAGAATTCGAGGTGATGAAATTTTACATTTACTACCAAGATTTTTAACTGCATTTTGTGCACCAATCATTGCCGTTTTAATAGTGTCCGTTGCGTTATGATTTTTTTTCATATTATTTTTAGCAGCATGAATAATCTTCCCTAATGTCATGCGTTTATTTTTCTTGGAAATTGTATTCTTCTTCTTCGCCTTCTTCGACTTCTTCTTCTTCTTCACAATCTTTTTCTTAATATTATTATTATTTTTTAAACCCATCCCAAATTTAGATTTAGCTTTCATTATATTAGTTACAGCTAATGCAGCTGCTTTTTCACTAATTTTAGCGTCCTTGGAAATTACTCGTTCCCACGCCTTTTCAGCTAGTATTTTGTCTGCAGTATTTCTTGCAGCCACGTCTTTATCTTTTGAATAGGCTATATCATGCTCCTTACAAGCCGTATCCAAGGGATTTATACCAGGATCCCCTCGTGCAAGACGTTTTGCCAACTTTGTTCCAGGTCCACAATATTGATAACCAGGAATGTGACACTCGAATGGTAATTTGTTAATTAAAGTATTGAGAAATCCTTGACCACTGCAAGAATTTTTCTTCACTTTATCGTGAGTAATCATTCCTCACTCGACAATGGTCTATAACCAACTGATTGAGGGCGACTATATAAGTGGGGTATTTATAGTTTTTTTCGTTAGTCAATTCCAAGATGCAGTTCAAGGTACAAGCTGTACAACTCCCGATTGCAAATGTGGATAACCTCATTGAAACTTAAGATAATGGGGTTAAACGACATGGAAGTTTATTTTCAAATAGTATTCGAGCAGCTTTTTGTGGACCGTCAAATTGTGGAAAAACGAATGCACTTCTTTCTCTGATTATACATCCGAATGGTTTAGGATTTGAAAATATATATTTATATTCAAAATCATTACAGCAGCCGAAATATAAATTTTTGGAACAAGTACTTAGTAAAGTAGATGGCATCGAGTTCTGCCCATTCAGTGAACATGAACAAGTTTGTACACCTAAAGATGCAAAAACTAATTCAATTTTCATTTTTGATGATATCGCTTGTGAGAAGCAGGACAATGTTAAAGCGTTTTTTTGTATGGGGCGACATGTTAACGTCGATAGTTTTTATCTTTGTCAAACATATGCTCATATTCCAAAACATCTTGTTAGAGATAATATTAATTTGCTTGTGCTATTCAGACAAGATGAAAGGAATCTCAAGCATGTTTACAATGATCATGTTAATACAGATATGACGTTTACACAGTTTCGAGATTTATGTTCAGTATGTTGGAACTCTGACAGATATGGATTTGTAGTTATTGACAAAGATAGAAATATAAATGATGGAAGATATAGGAAGGGATTTGATTGCTTTATCCAGTTATAAATATTAAGCATTTCAAGAGAATTGTATTAGTTCAGTTTGAGACTTTCATAAATAAACATGTTTCGAAAGGAGCGAGAGACACTACATCAAATAGCTGCAGCAAGTGATGCTATACGTCGAAAGCATCGTATTCTTAAAAGTGGCAGAGAGTCAGCTGAAAATATATTGAAAGAAACCTTTCAACCATTAGTTACTCCATTGGAAAAATTAGTAAATATAACTAAAAATCCTATAAAGATTGAAAATTTTCAAAACCATGTAAAGAAAGAAGAAGAAGAAGAAGACTTTGAATCATCTTTTAAGACTGCCATTAGTAAAGATACACCTTTCAACAAATCTATTTATAATGATGATGTAACGTTTTATGATCCTATTTATGAAGAAGAAGACATGCAAAATTTATCAAAAGAAAATATAATTGATAGATTGTCAAATCAAGAGAATCATAATGTTATTACTAATGAGCAAAATAATAATATACTTAATGATGACTTTCATGAGCAAGGCATGTACGATATTAAAGATGAAAGTAATGTGGTTAATACTGTGGAAGAAGATTCTGATAAATTGACAAAGAAATTTCTACAAATGTTGGACAAAAATAGAAAACAATATATTGATACAGTTTATGGAGTACGTAAACTTCCCGACGGTACATATATGATTGGTAATACGCAAATTGATTTTGAAGGTTCTTACATTAACCTAGTTGGGAAGAAAAAATATTCTAAAACGGATGGATTATTAGAACTCATATTCCGTCAAAAACCTGATCAGAAGTTAACAAATGCTAATGATTTCGTAAACTATAAAGAAATCCTGCGTAGTACGAATGCATATAGAAAGAACTATAGTCCAAATAAACCTATTCGTAGTAATAAGACTTTCAAATATACTAATGTTATTGCAAAACTTTTGCTCAAATCTGGAGATTCTTATTTGAAGAGAAAAACTCAATTACCACAATTTATGACGGTGAAGAAGGAATCATATCCAGACTATGTCTATTGGGATGATCCAAACAAGATTGTTGAGCGTCTACGCTTACTTGTCGCATCACAACAGGCTGGCAATTCAAGTCATAACAATGAAATTATGTCAATAATTGAAGAATTACGGGAAGCTCAAATTATATATTAAGAGTGAACTTGTAAAATCAAGATCATTATTATATTGAATATCGTTCTATCAAGATCATTTTTTGTTACAAATCCTTGAACATGGATGATAAAAAGTTAACAGTTGTGACAGAGTTACATAGGCAAGCTCGGAGAAATTATCCACGTCGAAAATTAGAAATGCATGGAATTGATGAAACCTGGCAAGCAGATTTAGTTGAAATGATACCTTATTCAAAAGTTAATAAAGGTTTGAAATATATGCTTACAGTTATAGATATATTTTCCAAGTATGCATGGGCTATTCCAGTAAAAAGTAAAAGTGGAAAAGATGTTTCTGAAGCTATGGAATCTATACTTGTGAATGGACGTGTTCCTAAAAACTTGCATACTGATAAAGGGAAAGAATTTTATAATTCTGTATTTGAAAGTTTAATGAAATCATATAAAATTAAACTGTATTCAACTTATAGTAATTTAAAAGCTTCAATTATTGAAAGATTTAACCGCACATTAAAAAATATGATGTGGCCACAGTTCAACTTACGAGGAAATTACAAATGGGAAGACATTTTACCATCTCTTGTTAAAAAGTATAATAATAATAAACATCGTACTATTGGAATGAAACCTAAAGATGTCAGCAGAGAAGATGAAAAGAGACTGTTGAAACGCATATCCAAACAAAGGAAAATTTTACCTAAGAAAGCAAAATTCAAAGTTGGTGATAAAGTGCGAGTTAGCAAGTATAAGAATGTTTTTGAAAAAGGATACACACCCAACTGGACAACTGAAATATTCACCATCACTCAAGTAAAATCAACAAAGCCGGTAACATACAAGCTGAAGGATTATCAAGATCAACCCATCGAAGGTGGTTTCTATGTAGAAGAAATTTCCAAAGTCAAATATTCAGATGTTTATCTTGTCGAGAAAGTTCTTAAAAATCGTCATAATAAAGTCTATGTAAAATGGCTTGGATTTGATAATTCTCACAATAGTTGGATAAATAAATCGGAAATTTAAAATTTTTTAAAAGTTAAAGTTAACTATTTAAAAAGTTAAAGTTAACTATTTGAAAAGTTAAAGTTAACTATTTGAAAAGTTAAAGTTAACTTTTAAAAAAGTTAACGTTAACTATTTGAAAAGTTAAAGTTAACTTTTGGAAAAGTTATATGTAAAATGCATGTAAATATTTGAAAAGTTAAAGTTAACTATTTGAAAAGTTAACGTTAACTATTTGAAAAGTTAAAGTTAACTATTTGAAAAGTTAAACTGAGTTTGAAGTAATGTTGAACTAAAATGTAATAATGTCTTGTATTTATATGGAAGTTACTTTTAAATAAAATATGTATAAAAAATGTAATCTTTTTAGTGAATTTCTTATTTCCTAACTGTTAAACTATATTAAGGTTCTATTAAATAAAAGTAGACAAAGTTTGAATGTATATAGAAAAAATTTTTCATTTATTTAAAAACCAATGTGTATAACAACATCAATAAAATATTTATCAATATAATAAATAACATCAATAAATATTCATAAATATACATAAAATTAGATTTCTCTTTTCTATTTACAATATAATACTTATATTCTATTACAATAAATACTTAAATTCTATTTTATAATTCTATCATTTCTACATCGTTTTCTATGACTTTATCTCTTTCTATAATATAATGACCCCATGCAAGAGTGTCAGTGTTGTGTTTCAATAAAAATCTTTTGTCATCGTAGGGACTTAGGGCTATTTTTTTCTGTTTTAAAGTAAGGACCTTGTGGAGTTTGGAGCGAATGGAATATTGAGTTCGAGATTGGATTTTAATATTTTTTAAACAATAAATGTAATCATTAAAAGTTATATGTTTCTTAACTACATTAGACTTTACACCTTTTGCCTTTTTTAAGAAATCTTGATTATCCACACGTAAACTATACATTTTACTACGCAAACCAACAAATTCAGTGACAATCCTCCCATTGCATTCGTCTTTCATAAGACCTAACACTTTTTTGTTGGCTTGCGGAATGCCATATACATTATTCATGGGATAATCAGAAGTATCAAATTTGAAAATGTCTGCTCTCATATCAGAATAGACATCCTCACATTTGATATTATAAATAAGGCTGTCAGTGTCAGTATAAAGCAGTTTACAATTCATTCCATACTTTTTCCTCATGTAATCATAGTGAAAATCATACATCAGAGTTTTTGAGATGTCTAACACGCTAAGACCTATATAAATCGGCTTATTCATGTACACCTCAGTCTTCCTAAGTTCCACGGCTATCAAATTTTCGTTAAAGATAGCTCGCGTGTGGAACTTAGGTTTAGCAATTAAAGCTTCTGCCCCATACCTACCCTCCCACTTTGTCACGAGTTTCACGTTTACGTGATTACGTACATTCTCCATTGTCTTACCATACACCGCATTGTTCATTAATTTAAACAAGTTTTTCTCGAATTCATTACTAGCCTTTGTTCGTTGACTAGTATTGGGATCTGAAATACTGCGATACGCCATCTGGTGACGACCTCGTTGTGTCAGCCATTTTTCGTTTCATCCTTTTTAAAATATATGTAGAAGAAAGAGATAATAAATCAAGATGGCTAACGCAACGAGGTCAGTTTCCCCATAATTCCCTATGATTTCAGATCCCAATTGAAATCGACATAATCTTTAAGCCAAGTTGACTGTTTAAATTGTAAAATGCGGTGGATGTGAACCAACATAAGCCCATTGGCTAATGCTTGTTTAAGTGCACGATAATGGAGAATGTATTTTCGTTTCGGTTGGAGAGTAGTTAGAAGCTTTTCTTGCTTTGACCCTGGTGGTTTCAAGTGTTCAGGACAAAATGGGAAATCATTATGCATATTATGTAGTTCTGTAGGATAATCTAAATCAACTTCCAAAATATAACCTATAGTTGCATCATCTACAACGTTAAAATTAAAGTTATTGTCAAATTCTAAAACCCACTTGAAATCACCATAGGGAAGAGACTGTACCATGGCCCAACCATATAGATTATTAGCGTCTAAATATACAATGTAAGAAGTCTCCTCATTGACATTGTGCTCTTTCATATATTGATTATTTGCTTTGGCATAACGATTTGTACATTGACTTATACCCCCTCTTATACCACGTTCAATAAACATTATCATATCAATGTCAGTGAGCAGTTCTAGTTTTACATTTGTATATTTTAACATAGCATCCCAAGTAAAACCCGGTGTCGTGCAATAGTGTGCAGGATCTTACCCGTATGCTTTTAGGCATTGTTTACGGAAATTTTCAAATACATCAGCAAGCAGCAAGATGTCAGTTTTCATATATAAATAAACATAATCACAAAGATTTTTACAATTAAATTCTGACCATACTTGCTGAGCATGTAAATATTCTTGATCTGATATATTTGAATCATTCAATGTACTATAAAAACGTTCTTTTTGGGGTAACTGAGTTTCTTCGAGTTTTTCCTTAGATTCGAGATACTCGTAAGGAAAAACTCCTTTTCGGGTTAACAAATTAACTTTATTATCGCTATAGTTTGAAAAGTTTGATTTAACAATTTTGTATTCGTTTAAATATGATGCTAATTTGTCTAAAGATGATGCCATAAATCTAAATGAATCTATGAATCTAAATTTAATGAAACTTGCTTCAACATGTTTGGTAAAACTAATATATTTTTCCTTGTTAATGGGAAGAACGTCAATTTTACCTTCAAACTCATTCGCGATTGCTTTAATAATAAAATGTGCATCATAACCACTTAAATTATGGAAGACTACAGGAACTATTCTAGAATCTTGATAATTGACATTACAATCTTGATGGGCTGCACCTCGATACACCCCAGTCAGATGGCAATGATCTCTAACTTTTACTTCTCCATGCTTGATAGTTTTCATACAAATATGGCAAATATTAGCTACTTTAAATGCGGCTTTTTGATCTGCATTTAGAGTATCCATTGGAATATTTACCATAAATGTAGGTTTAATTTCTTCCGCCAACTTTTTCAACTCTTTTGCAAACCATCTCGCCGGATCTTCTTCATTCCTGGGTGATGCCCGGTATTCATTTAAAGAGTCATCATAACTCTTTAAATAGAATCCAATGCTGAGAAGTTGATGTTGTTGAACTACTTCTGTGTGACATCCCATAGATGAAGAATTCTCCCCTGGAACTAGTAGACTCTCGCAATCTGCATAAATGATGAATGGTACTTTTTCTTTATTACTAAAGTTCTTGAATTGGATACTATTATATCCAGGTTTAGGTAAGATGATTTTGGTGTTATTCATTTTCTGGCAATCCTCAACGTGCTCAGTAAGTTTATCGTTGCTTCTGAAGTAGTGAAGACAGCGATCGCAAAGAAATAGCGCATGCCCATTTGATGAAACTTGGTTATTTATAAGACGCGATAAAGATTTTATCCAAACATAGTGGAATTTGTTGGAACTTCCGGAATCTTCTTTATCATCATCCTCATCAATGTAGTGACCATCAACGCGTAGAAGATTAACATGTTTGGATTGTTTCTGCGAGGTTAGGTGTATTGGCGAGACTGTGAATTTCCCCTTTCGTTTAACAAGACAATAAACGTTTACTGAAATATTGTTAAGCACTTCAAATCTTGTAACGTCATTGAGTGCTACGGGGAATTTAATATTAGTGAAATTTAAATGATGTTGAATATATTCATAGTTTTGCAAACGAGATGGGTTTGAAGAAGCTTCATACAATGCCGATAATATTGCCCACTTGAAGCATTCATTATCCTTTTCATTTCTAACATTGACACAGGCACGTTTAGCTTTAATAGATGGCGGTAGATCAATGAAAGAACCAACACGCAAAGGATTGTATTTGTTAATATTGACATCTAATCTATGGATTGAATAGAGTTGCCAATTTGATTCTTTATCTTGAAAATCTTCAATTTCTTTAAGTGTTTTCTGCTTTACATAATCATTATACCAATCGCGTAACTCAGTTGAAGGGAAAATTGACTCTGTCTTATTAATGAAATATTTTATATCGAATTCTGTAGTACCGTCAGGTAAAACCTTTTTATATTTTGCATTGAATACTGTATATACTTTCAACGGACCGAACGTGTCTAAGCAAGTTTTAATGTGATTTTCAAAAGGAACAAAGGCATCATCTAAAAATTCATTAACATCTAAGTGACTTAAATTAATGACTGTACCGGTTTGTAATCGATTATTAAAAGCCGAATCAGTTAGAGCCCATTTAATTTTTTCATTTGATTGATTAAGTCCTGCACCGCGCTTCATCAGCGAATCAAAGTGGCATTTCAAGTAATTTATATGATGTAATAACGTTAAGATCCTATGTTTTTGAGGAACTGAGAAGCTATATTTTCTAAAAAATTTAATTAAAATTGCATAATTTTGTATAGACTTGTGATGCCATTGAATCGTGATGAGTCGATCCTCATCGGAATTTCTAGAGCATAACTCTATATTGGCAGCATCAATGAAATTGTCTAAGGCTTCACAAATCTCATTGAAACTATCAATAGAGGTGTATGGTTTAGATGTTTCGATATTTCTACGATTAGCCATTTTTTTTTTAAATTCTGAAAAAGATTGTATGAGGATTAGCTGAAAAATCTGAAAAGAACGTTGAAAATAACCTAAAAAAAATCTGAAAAACCTATGAAGAGAATTTGGAATAAGTTGTAAAGGAAGTAGTGGAAGTGTAGGGAGTGGGGTGGGGTATAGTCCTCGATGACAACTGCTTTTTAAAGATGTCTACCGAATACGATGTTGCGAAGCTTCACTTTGCTCGTTTAAGTATAACTGAAACAGAAATAAAATTACAATCAATTTAATGTACATTAAGATAAATGTTTGCGAAAGACATGTAAATTGAGTAAACTTACAATGCTGCTACACAATTTGGCAATGCAAATGAATGTTTGTCTCTTGTAGGAATATTAACTTGCTAATTTTTTTGAATCTATAACAGAAAAAAAGGATTATGATTAATTTGATATAATTTATACATAAGAAAATATAAATAAGATTAACTTACACTGATGCTCTTGGTAATGCTTCTTCAACAAAGTTTTGTACTGGAATAAGACCTCTGAAGAGAATTGCTGTAGATATATGACTAGTGCCAGAGGTCTGATGCTGCTGATTCTGGAAGCTAGAACAGAATGACTTTCCTTGCCACGGGAATCGCCTGAGGTACATGTAGTCCCCACCATACACAACATCCCACCACTGAACTCCATCCCCACTTGACGCATGGACTACCAACGGGCCCCGGTGACCGTACGCGCACATCTGCCGCGCACCTTTCACTTTTGAGCCATCCACTGTGTACCACCCACAGCCACCCACTCCCAACCACCCACAGTCCCGCGCGGTATCTCGCGAACCCTTTGTTCCTCGAGGTTCTAATTATGATTTTTAAATTTTTGGAACCGTATATGTTTTTACTGAAAAGGGTTATGCAAATTAGGGTGGATGGGCGACCAAAAGGGTGAAAGTTTAAAAATACATATGAAAATTAGGGGGGGAAGGTGGGGTAAGGGGTGGTGGGTGGTAATCAAAAGGGTTAAAATTCAAAAGGTGGGTGGCCAACAGGGTTGAAAGTGGGTGGTAAGGGGTGATCAAACGGGTTAAAATTCAAAAGGTGGGTGACCAAAAGGGTTGAAAGTGGGTGGTGATCAAAAGGGTTAATATGCAAATTAGGGGGTGGTGGGTGGTGAATAAAAGGGTTAATATGCAAATTAGGGGGTGGTGGGTGGTGAATGAAAGGGTTAATATGCAAATTAGGGGGTGGTGGGGGGCCAAGAGGGCTGAAAAAAGGGTTCAAGGTCAAACTGTTTTAGAACTGGCACAGCCCTACTACTTCTACGACCTAAACGACGTCGATTTTTTCAATAGGGTTCTGTATATAAAGATGTATTCATTTGATAATATATCTGACCATGTAATTTAAAACAAAAAGGTCCACGACGTGTATTATTAAAATCTACTAAATTTGCATTAAAGGATGCAAATGCAAGTGAATTATTCTAACATCGAACACGTTGATGAAAATGATTTGATAGTTCCTGTGTTCTATCAAATAAACTCTACAATATTGGTGGTAGCATAGGGAAAACTTCCTGTATAACTTCATCAAGCTTATAACAATCATTAAACGAATTTTTATCCTAACAAATAGGACGTAATATTACAGTAACATTAAAATGTCCTCCTCATGGTAATATTAGTGAAGAATGAAGCAAGGATAGTTAGTTGCTGTTATGCTTAGACGGTTTGCTCAAAAATCGCGTCATTCATGGTATATCAGTTTAATAAAAAAAAAAGTAAAATTGTAATTTGTAGTTTATTGCAGTAAAATTTCCTTGAATTAAAAAAGTAACCGTGCCCAAATAACACGGTACGTCACATAAATATCATTGGAATATTTTTTGGAATATTCCTGTGATATATAATGGAGATCAAAATGTCCGCTTCATGATGATATCTCAGTGATATTGGGAGTATTCTCCCATTGATATGAAGGGAATATTTCACGGAAATGATTTTTTAAATATTTTTATAAATTTCTATTTTTTACAGTCTTGAGCCACTCTAGTAGCACCACATTTATAAAACAGCTGTTCGTTACATATTTGTTTCAGAACAGATAGAGAACAAATCTGAAATACAGTGATAGATCTATTATGTTACATTTTTGTAACACTGTTCTATAACGCTGCAGTAACAACGTTACTTTAAAAATTCTAGAACTAATTAAACACAAATGTTCTAGAACAAATGTTACATCTTCCTTATAGAACAGAGTCAGAACAACTGTTGCAGAACAGGTCTAGAACACAATTCCAGAACTGTTCTATAACAAAATTGTAACACTTGTTCTAGAACAAGTTACACTTTTTGTTCTAGAACAGTTACATAATGTGCACGCTGGGTTTATTTGTAGAAGGTAACTACAGTCATTTATTGTGGATTTAAACGAATCTATAGACATTCGCTGTAAACAATTTCAGACATTAAACCGGGATATTATTAATGTAATTCACACTCCTTTTCGGAATTGTAAGATATTCGCACAATCCTACCGTAATTGTCAAGGGAAAATTATTTGATGATGTACTTGCATATGTGTATGTTGTTGAGTATCAAAAGCGTGGATTGTCTCACATGCATTTATTAGCAAACTTATGTATATTTATATTTTATATTTTTTGAAATAACTTTTTCTTATATAGAAATATTAATAAGTTCATGTCAAATTTGTATTCCTGGCATGAAAACGAATCGATTGATGTATATTAACTTCACATTTTATCAATATTTATAAAATTAATCGCTATTTTAGTTGTACTATTTCATTTAATCTTAAATATAAGTGTATTATGATGAGGAAGCTAAATAGTAATTAAATAAACACCTTGTTAAATCTTCTTTTTTGACATTATTAGTATAATTATAGAGAGAGCAATATGGATCATTCCATACCAAGTTACCGCTGCATTTGAGGTTAAAATCAGAGCTAGAATACTAATATAGGTAGATATATTGATCATTTCACGTCAAATAGTGGATGGGTGTGAGGTTAAAATCAGAGCTAAAATACTAATTTAGGTACATATATGGGTCATTCCACGGCGACGCACAGTGGGAAAAAAATGATCCTCTGTGGACAAAAATCTACCGACAACACAAATCTTAATCGATTTTAATATTTTTTTTTTTAAAATACTCGGAGAGGTTTTTCCTGTAACGCACAACTGCGATAAATTTGATTTATTTCAAACTAACCTTAAAAATGATACCTATATATAAAATTACGTTATTAGGATGGTTTAAAAAATAAAAAAATGATTAATTTTGATATAGCAGAGAGTATTGTGAACCCTTTTTGATCACTGAATGCGAATTTGACATTAAAATTGCAAAATTTTAAAATTCAAAATGGCGGGTGCAATATGGCAGGCAATGTTTTATAAAAGTCACCAAATTCACTCGAAAGTTGTTATTCAGGGGTTTTTAAGGTCGCTGGTTACGAATCTGAAGTCAAATTTCAAAAATTCAAAATGGCGGATCCAATATGGCGGATAAGAAAATCAAAAACTAATTGGATTTGCTTGAAAGTTGTTACACGGGGGTTTTTTGGGTCGCTGATTACGAATCCGATGTCACATTTCCAAAATTCAAACTGGTGGATCCAATATGGCAACCAAAAAAAATTTTAAATTCACTAGATTTGCTTAAAACTTGTTACTCGGGGGTTTTCGGGGTCGCTGATGACGAATCTGATGTTAAATTGTCAAAATTCAAAATAGCGGATATAAAATAAAAAATAGGAAAAGAACTAAGCGCAATTGCGCCTACATCTAGGGTTTCGTGGCGCTTTAAATTTTAATTAAAAAAAATCAAAAATAAATAATTTAAAAATAAATAATAAAATTTATTTTATAAATTAACCTAAAACATTAGGTAAAATGTCCATTCGATAATGTCCACTATTAAGACATGTCAACTCTTGGACATGTCAACTATAGAGACATGTCAACTATAGGGACATATCAACTACTGGGACATGTCAACTATAGGGACATGTCAACTATATGGACATGTCAACTATTGGGACATGTCAACTATTGGGACATGTCAATTACTGAGATAGGTCAACTACTGGGACATGTCAATTGTAGGGGCATGTTAACTAATGGGACATGTAATGTCCATTCATGTAATGTCCATTCGGGAAAATGTCCATTCAGTAAATGGAGATTTGGGATCTGTGGGGTCCCAAAATTTGAATTTGGGAGCTATGGTGCCCCAAATTTTGAATTTTGTCAACTATAGAGACATGTCAACTATAGGGACATGTCAACTACTGGGACATGTCAACTATAGGGACATGTCAACTATTGGGACATGTCAATTACTGAGACAGGTCAACAACTGGGACATGTCAATTGTAGGGGCATGTTAACTAATGGGACATGTAATGTCCATTCAGTAAATGGAGATTTGGGATCTGTGGGGCTCCAAAATTTGAATTTGGGATCTGTGGTGCCCCAAAATTCAAATTTGGAAGCTATGTTTGCCCAAAATTCGAATTTGGGATCTGTGGGGCCACAAAATTTGAATTTGGGATCTGTGGGGCCCCAAAATTTTAATTTGCGATCTGTGCCTTAAAATTTTATTTTGGGAGCTGTGGTGCCCCAAAATATACTACGGACAGTCGGACGCCAAAGTGAAACTATAAGGCTTTCGGCCATGGGCAACGAAACCCTAAAAATTAATAACTTTTTAAAAATTTGATCGCCATATTGGATCCGCAATTTTGAATTTTTGAAATCAGACTTCAGATTCGTCCCAATAGTTGACATGTCCATATAGTTGACATGTCCCTATAGTTGACATGTCCCAGTAGTTGATATGTCCCAGTAGTTGATATGTCCCTATAGTTGACATGTCTCTATAGTTGACATGTCCAAGAGTTGACATGTCTTAATAGTGGACATTATCGAATGGACATTTTACCTAATGTTTTAGGTAAATTTATAAAATAAATTTTATTATTT